CAAAATATATACGATAGAAATTACTTAATGTGTGCATATATAATTAAGCAAATCAAACTATTTATGCTCCATTTAAAACTTATCTAAACATATAACTATTTATTCATAAATTCAGCTTCAACACTTTCAAATTTTTTTAAAAAAAATCTCATTCGAAGCTGCAAGGATGTGAAGCAGTTAATTTCCACACAAAGGACCAAAAATTTGTTCTGGTTTAAGTGTCCATCACTTTCTTTATTTTTTTGTTTTCATTATATCCAAATTGCTTTCAATGACTAATAAATACTTAGTCTTCTCTCTCTCATAGAATAATTTTCTTCCAATACATTCACGCAGGGTGGCTCAATAAGATCGATGGTTTAAAATCAAATTTTCATAAAATATTTTATAGCTAAATAAAACTGAATCGCTTCCTCTCTTGATCAGAGATATTGAGTCCAAATCTCAAAAGGAAAACAAATATTGCTAGAGAGCTTCTTCCTTTAAAGAACCTTATGTGACACGAAATTGAATTAATCGTGACTTCAACATAGATTCTAGACATTGTATGAGAAAATAAAAAATAAAAATCGGAACCCTAAAATTTTGGAGCCTAAAGTCCTTGCTTTAGTTGCTTCAACATGATTCACGAGACTGTAGAACATGTGCGAGTCCAATTTAATTGAGATATAAAATTGTATTAGAATTAGATTCATTTAGCAAGTACGATATAAGCATCTTGTCTTTCTATGCTCCGTAGACTTGCATGTAATTATTGAGAGCGCATATTTTACCTATTGTGAATATTCCACCCAAAAACACTTACTAAGTCTTGTTTAATCTTATCTGAATAATATGGGGTGAAGAAATGTCCTAGATTAAAGTATGACTATTCTTTAAAGCATAGAGTATTTCCTGAATAACACGACATGCAATGCAACATTAATCTCCTTTGAATTTTCTTCACATGTGAAATAAAATTCCACAGTGTTTAAAATTTAACATTTTATACAAATTCGATTAAATTTAACAATCAAAGTTTGATAAATATCTTCTCAAAACCAAAGGTGTTCACTTTTGAAAAATTTAAAGGACCTTTATTTTTTTTTAATTAGGGCAAAACACTAACACGACATAGATTCTTTATTTCCTTTTTTAAATTATGAAATTTACATATTCAAAAACTAAGTGAGCATAATCAATATAATCTTGATTATGAGTCTTGAGTCGATCCCTCAGAAAGCTATGATGAGTTCCGATTGACTTCGTTTAGTTATTATAAGTTGAAGTACGAGTGAAATAATTATATTTGATTTTCTAACTAAGTTAATTAATCACACAAAAAAACACTGTAATTTTGACTGACTCAAACTTGCAAGTCACACATTCTAATACACTTAAAAATAATATTTTAATATTATCCGCGAGTATATATACTAGTTTACTTTAATTCAAGAACTGGTGATTGTAACTTGATTCATTCCGGTGCAGGGGAGAACCTTGCCAAGGGAACTGGTGATTTCACGGGGAGGGCAGCTGTGCAATTGTGGGTGGGGGAGAAGCCAAACTACAACTATGGTACCAACCAATGTGTAAGGGATTAAATGTACGTCTATAATTATTATTATTATTTCCCTTTGATGTTGCTAGTATATATTATTCCACATACCATATGTTCATGGTATAGTGGGATTAAGTTGATAATTAAGTATGGAAATACATAAAGTTTTTCCTATTTTTTTTAAAAATCTTTTCTTAAATAAGATTAAAATACATGGCATAATGATTGTATAAGTAAAATAATTATTGTCTTCTGCACGTGGCAAGATTCAAATTACGAGAGTTAAATTATTAATTTTTTAGTGTAAAGTTGAGCGTAGATTCTTTATATCTTATAAAATGAATTATATATTTAAAAACTGCTTAAAATGATTTAAAATAAAATATACTAGTTAATAACTTGAAATGTTTTTTTAAGATGTGATTAAAAAAAAAAAAAAAAAATTGACTCCCCAAATAATTATATTGTTAGACACATAAATTACCATTGGGTGGACCGATGAGTCAATTGTGGAGATTTCAATCAATTATTGAGCAACTTTGTATTAAATTAAATTTTGAATTAAAATATTTGTAAAGTATGTGGTACACAAGTTAACATTGTAAGTCCTTCTGATACAAAGCGGCATTTGTTAAAGAATTTTTTTAATTTTTAATGTGAGATTTTTCGATAAGAATTTAAATTTAAGCAAATTATCCTTAACGAAAGGTCTTATAGTCGAGTCCTAGATATATGTAGAGTCGTACTTGATAGAAAACAATTTACCCTCACGGACTTTATGATGCTAATCGAGAGAATTACTTTTCAAATAAATCCAAAACCATTAATTAATATATGTCCAATTTAGGGTTGAATGAAATTGTAATATTTCTAGAACAATTTTAGATTAAGTTAATTAATCCCTTAGTTACCCAATGATACTGCAACTTGATTGACCTAGACTTGCAAGTTGCAAGCTTTCTCCAAAACAAACAAGTATTGGAATTCCAAGCTCAATAATTTACTTTAATTTAAATGCAGTCAAATAAATACAATAATATTTTATTGAGAATTCAAGGAGTTTGCCAGTTAGGTAGGTTATGGTAATCATTATTAGTATTAGTAGCTAAAAAAACATATTGGGAGTTTGTCGGAGATCCGGCTCCTTTCCATTTCTTTTCTTTCCATTTTTCCTAAGTTCTTGTTCATATATGAGACACGTAGCATAGGTAAGAATTAATAGCTAAGATTTGATTGGTTAAAATAAAATTATAATTATAACTTAGATAATAATTAATATTTTATAAAAATAGTAATGCCACAATCATAGAAATATATTATCTTGTCCATAAATAGTCTTATAATTAAGGACTGAAATCTTATTTATATGGGAACGTGTGTTGTTGTATTCTAATTTACCGATTTATTTTTGATTTGTTTTGTTTTGTAAAATTTCATTGCTATGTAGGTGAAAAGTTAAAACTAGGGGTGTACAAGATCGAATCGAAAACCGAATCTAACTGCAAATCGAGTCCAATCGAGAAAAAAAATCCGACTAGTGGTTGGTTTGACTTGGTTTGGTATTGAAAAAAAACCTGACTATATTTGGGTTGGTTTGGTTTTAACTAACAAAAACCAACCCGAGATCAAACCAACCCGACATTGTATATATAATTTTAAATTTTATTTTATACATAAAAATATTTCCTTTGATATAATTTTTAAATATTTCTTATACTTTTTCATAATTTTTATCTTTTAATATATTATTTCAAGTTTGAAACTTAGAATTTTGAATGATTCAATAAAGATCACAGTCCACAGATGTTGGTAATTATAATAAGGCTTAAATCAAAATCAAATTAATACTAATGCAAAAAGGAAATCAATTCAACACTAAGAATGAAAATAATATTGAATATGGGTTTTACATTGGTTTAGACAATTCAAATACATAATCTAATTTTAATTTCCTTTAATATTTAGTCATGTAACTAATACTTATTAAACTTATTTTAGCATGATTTAGTACTTTTAAATTATGATCATTTTTATTATGACTTGTTAATTTGTCAATATTTGTTTTACGTGATTTTCATTATTATTATTTTTTTGTTGGATATTTTTAGTGTTCATTACTCATATCATATTTTGTGTTATTTTCTTAAGAAACACTTTTATATAGTTGTATTTTGGTAGGACTAAAGAAATATTTGAAGTACAAGTAAATTATATGTTTGTATGAATACTTTACCGGAAAAACCCAAAAAAATCCGATAAAACCCGAGGTTGAAAAACTCGAATTTTATTGGTTTGGTTTATAGATTTAAAAATCCAACACAAATGGTTTGGTTTTGATATTTGAAAAACCCGAACCAACCCGGTCATGTACACCCCTAGTTAAAACTATGGTTATATAGGGGTTATTTAGGTGCTTAAATTGTATATTTAAGTTTTTAACCCATTATTTTGTTGAGTCCGGAGCCAAAAGGGCAAGTTTTTTCCTCAAAAAAACATAAACGGTATACCAAAAAAAATTTAAACCAAAAGGGAAAAATCGCTACCTAGGGAGCCATATATTTTAACGTCGTGTATGCCGCCGTCAAAACCTTCAAAAAAATTAAATTTGTAACATCGCTACCTCAGCAGCGTTTTTCTAAAAAAAATTGTAAATCGCTGCATCAGCAGCGTTATCCAATTTTTTTCAAAAAAAAAACATTAAGGAAAATTGGCAATTTTTAAACATCAAGAAAAATTGCTGCCAAAGAAGCGATAATTTTTATTAAAAAATTAGAAAATTGCTGCCATTGCAGCAAATTCAGTTTTTAAATTAAAATGGCTACAAATTTAATTTATTTTAAAGAAAACGTTGGATAGTGATTTTAGAGATTTTTTTTTTTTTTGAAAAAACGCTGCTTAATCAGCGATTTAAGATAAAAAAAAGAAAAAGAATTGGACATTTTACAAAAAAAAAAAGAAAAGAATTTGGCCAAAATCGCTGTTGGAGCAGTGATTTTAAATAAAGGTTTTAACTGTGTGCGCAACGTTAAAATATATAGCTCCTTCAGTAGTGATTTTGCCGTTTTGGTTAAAAAAAAAATTGATATACCGTTAATGTTTTTTGAAGAAAAAACTTGTCCTTTTGGCTCCGAACTCTTATTTTGTTTGTGTTTTTGTTTATAACAATTAAGTGAGATCTAAACATCAAATATTAGTATACACATATAACAACACCACACTATAATATTCATGAAATTTTCAGACAACCACTGCCACTATAACGAGGTTTGACTGTATCAATTAGTTGTGATCACAAGGTTGGTAGAACGAGAATAGTACCAAGTGAGATTTGAAAAAAAAAAATAGAATATAGGGGTAGAGAGATTGTTTCTGATATTCAAGATACGCAATTAGCCAACATCTTGACAACATAAACAGCCAATCAACTCCAATAACATCAAATAAAATCTGCAAACTACATACATACATCTGTTCTAACCAGCTATACAAGACCATCACCAAGGAACCCCATATCCGTTGCAACTAGTGTTTGGGTGTTTTTGCTCGAGTTTTACGAAATGAAAGTCTCATACACGATTCTCAGAGGGAGAATTTCGTCTATCTCAATAAAGTACGTGATTGGTTCGAATACGCCATGTGATCATCCTTGGATATAAAGTCACTACTATAGAAATTGACATCAAATGCATTTTTCCACCAACACAAATGACCACATTCTAAAGAAAGAAGGATTCAGAGTTGGATGGCATAATACATAAATGTGTCCTTCAACTTGGCCTCAACTGACATCTATGTCCTCAAACTTTGTGTATGCATAAATAGACACTTACACTTTATATACACATGTGTCCTACGTGGCGTCCTACGTGTACACAATGTAGGACGACATGTGTGTCTACTTGCTCAACTTTATACAAGTTTAAGTACCTACTTGTGTACACTGAAAGTTGGAGAGCATAGATGTCAGTTGATGTCAAGTTAAATGGTATATATTATTCATGTATTATGCCAGGACAAGGGACAAGGATAGTAAATCACATTGAAGGTCCCAAACAGATAAATTGAAGTTAACGTCCTTCAACATTTGAAATAGAAATGGAATTTCTGGAGCAAGGTGAAATGCTTGGATCATCAGAGCCTCTGCTGCTATATGCCGGCCGCTTAGGCGGAGGAAGAAGTGTGTCACTGCAGAGCATGGAAACAATTGTAGCTGTATTTGGCCTGTAACTTGCATGTTCTTGCACACAAAGCAATCCCACAATGATGCATCTAACAACTTGTGTTGGTGTTTCAAGTGAACCAAACACCTTTGGATCCGGAAACTCGAGTATCTTGCCTTCATTCCACAGTTGCCATGCCTATAAAATCCATTGATATTAGTTTTGTCATGTGAAAATAGTAGTAGTATAGGATAGAAGAATATTCAAGTCCATTCAGACCTCTCGATAACAATCATCCTCGGCCTAGTTTTTCTCGAACTTCCATATTATGTTATATTTATATGTTCTTTATACTACATTTTTGCTATAGCAGCTAGACAAGAAATTACGTTATTATAAAGAGGTTTGACTGTATATGAGAAAATGAGAAATTCTTTCAGTTTTTCTCTTTTTTCACCTGGTCCGGGAGGTTGAGAGAGTCTTCAGAGTGACAATAGCTGTTGTTTCTTTTACTGCTGATAATCTCTAACAATATGACACCAAAACTGAAGACATCCGACTTCTCGGAAAAAAATCCTTGTATTGCATATTCAGGGGACATGTAACCACTGCATTGATACACAAATATACAATTTAGTTATGATGAATTTCACTGCTATATATGAACAATTAATACTTACTAGGTACCGGCAATCCTGTTGGTATTTGCTATAGTTTGATTCCCTCCGAAAATCCTAGCCATTCCAAAATCTGAGATTTTGGGATTCATATCTTCGTCTAACAGAATATTGCTTGTCTTAAGATCTCTGTGAATGATTTTTAGTCGTGAATCACGATGCAGATAAAGAAGACCTCTAGCTATCCCTTCAACGATACTATATCGTTGATTCCAACTCAATGCCGCCTTATCATTAGATCTTGATCCTCCTGCCAAGCACAAAGAGTAATTTAATCATAATTCATCAAGAAAAGTACTGTTTAAGTACTCTTGTTAATTAGCTCACCGAATATGAAAACGTCTAAGCTTCTGTTGGACATGTATTCATAGATCAGCAACTTTTCCTCCCCGTGAACGCAAAATCCCATCAGTTTGACTAAGTTTCTGTGTTGAAGTCCAGAAATCAGTGTAACCTCATTCTTGAACTCTTCAATGCCTTGTCCTGAGCTCCTCGAAAGTCGTTTAATAGCAACCTCTTGTCCATTTGCTAATACCCCCTATATATGAATCACACATGACTTCAACTAATAAGCAAATGAGTATAAACCATGTGAAATTTGCTCTACTTTTTCGATGATTAAAGCACACACGAGTGATATATATATATATACCTTGTATACAGGTCCAAATCCCCCCTCTCCAAGTTTATTTCGATAGCAAAAGTTCTTAGTAGCAGCTTCTATGCACTTGAAGCTGAAAACTGGTAATTCTGTACTTCTACCTTGAGTAAAACTGTTATGAAGCAAATTTGTTGCTGAAGAGTGTTTTGAAGCTATGCGAAAAGGGACTAAACTCCCAATGCCTGATAAAATCTAGTAAAAATTAAAGTCTTTCCAAAAGATAGCGAAAAGTTGTGCCTCTAACAACTGTAAAAATTGACTGTTTTTTTTTTTTTTTTACCTTTTTTCCTGATCTTCAATACATATATAGTGCAAACAATAAGAATCAGGCCGAATGTCGCTGAGACAATAATTGCAATATGGGCTCCCGTTAGCATCCTCCTCTTATCTGCATGACAAAAGGCAACTCGATAAGAAAAAAACTAAAACATGAGGTCTCAAGTTCAGATTCCGATGGAAGCAAAACCATACTAGGTGTTTTTTCACATCTACTTATGCCTTAGTGAGCAGAATTACTCAGTATCCCTATTGGTGAGAGGTAGCAAGTACTCGATGGAAAAGGCGGAGCTACAAGCCTGTCTACAGAGTCTGTAGAATCCAGTAGCTTTGGGCTAGACCATATATTTTTTGTGTTTAAGAATCCATTTAATAAGTATAAATAATTTATTCAAGACCCAGTAATTTGTTTTTTCTAGAATCCAAAATCCATAAACTCAAAATCCTAGCTCTGTCTCTGAGAATAGTTCAGGCGCACTAAAGCTGGCCCGAACACTACAGTCATAAAAGGAGAATGTGAATCCAACAAATGATTAGAGACAAATAACATAGGCAAACTACTAAAACAAATCCAAAATGAAGTGAAGTTTCGTTCGAGTAGTAATAAAATGGGATGTTTATAGAGAAAATTGGTGCTATGTTGCTCAGTCTCTTCAAAAGTATTGTTGTGTGCATGTAGGATCCTCCAATAATAGTGTGTTTTTTGGAGGATCCTATACGGGTGCAACAACATTTTTGGAGTGTCCGAGCAACATAGAATTAGTGTATCTGTATCTACCAAGTTGGGAATGTGCGAGGCGAATGTATAGTTGCTCTCCACCACGGGCAAACTCTTGGAGGTCAATAAGTTCTTTTCCCCAAATCATGCAGCCTATTCCATCCACATAAGCATATGCCAAACAAGTGATCAGAATTCTTTTCCCCTCTCTTTCTCTCATCATCAGAATTCGTACTAGTGATCGTCTCCTCACACTGGAATTGTGCTCTCCGGACACAACCACTAGTTCAATTCCCCTCGTTCCATTCACCGATAGACTTTGGTTCATAGCCCGTCAAACATTTGCATATTGGTGAATCATTATCCTTGCAACTTCCAAAAGGACCACATGTGTTATACAAGTCACATTGACCATTAGGTACTACCTGCACCTTTAACCATTTATTCTCTTCTGCATCCCAATCCATTTGAATTATCGCTCCGTAGGAATCAATGTATATCAATGTTGGAGCAGAGTAATTGAGTATAGCATAAGTAAAATAAAGTTCCTCCCCATTATTATCCATAAGTAGTTGAAAGCCATTATGGAAGTCTTTAGTCATGCTAGGCACTCCTATGAAACTTCTCCGGTTCCACTGCCCCGATCTGAAATGCTTCGATGAGCCATTCAAAATAAGTACTTGTAAAAGTTCATGAGGATCCACCACAGCAGTGCTAAAACTTCCCAGTGATGGATTTTTCTCATCTTTCCACGACGTGACGACTATTTGCTCCCCTGTTCTAGTATTCAGCCCAATCTTCATACGAGGCAAGAGAGTATCGGATGGATGATTGAAGCTCTCCCATAACAGTACAGATTCATTCAACTCGTTCTTATCGCGGAGAACAAGATTCCCCTGATCAGTCAGTACAGCAATTGTGTTATTGTTCGATACCAGATTAATTTCTGTAGACCAGACAGACATATTTTTATCATCCACAAGGACTAAATTTCCATCACTTGCATTAATCATAAGAACTCCATATGATCCAATTAATGCTCTTTCGCGGTTTGCAACCCATGCAACTTTTTCAACTGGTAATCCCTTGTACCATATCCCGACATATCGCCCTTGGGATCCATTAGGACTGAAGAACCCAAGCTCAAAGATACCTCCTGCTGAAACTAATGTTTCACCATCTACAACTTGTTGGTTCATTGATATAGTATCTGTTGCTACGCAAATCGCATTCATTATTAAAGGACATAGATAAGAAATTACAAGGACTATGATTAGCTTTCTAATAATTCTAGCCATGTTATTTCAGATCATAATACTCAGAAAACAATACGACAAATCTGGATTAATCGGGCTAGTGGTTAAACAAAAACTTTCTTTGAAGAATTTCACAAAAAGTCAACAGAATTTGATCAGGCATAGCTTGTCTATTACATAAACCAGTGTGAAAAGGACATGCAAAATAGTTAAATCAACAAATGATACTATTTTATGTTTGAAACATGATCATAATTTATAACAACAGAAAGTCAAACTCTTCTGTTGAGTATGTAATGTTCTCTGATGACATAATCTCCTTCTAGAATTGCCCCCAAAACACTCAGGGGTCATTTGGTTCAAAACTAGGATAGCCATGATTTTGGTATTAACTTTTATCCTGGATTTAGCTAACACCTACAACCAAACATGGGATAAACTAATCCCGAAAATATTTTCTGTTTATCCCTCAAACCAAATGGCCCTTATTTTGATTTTTTGTAACCAAACTAGTTTTAAATGATAAAAATTCTTTAATAGATGGATGTCAATTGATGATTTTGTTGGTGATGGTTAATAGCTAATGGTAATGGTGGCTGAAAATAGTAATTAACAGTGGATGTTGTTGATCGTGGTGGTTGATTGTCGTTAGTGATGACAATTAATAATTGTGATGGATAATAGTAACAGCTAATGGTGATGGTGATAGATGAAGTTGATTGGTGATATATATCGTGGTGGTTGATTGTCGTTAGTGACTAATAATTTTAGTGGAGATGATAAGTGATTTACAAGTACCCTCACTGCACTGACCATAGTAAACCCCTTCTCGTTGTACCGAAATAGAGATCTGATTTAAACGACCAGGTACAGCATATGAGTTCGATCCATTAGGTTCTTTTTTTTTTTCAGAAAAGAAACGAGAGACAAGAAAACATCTTTGATTACGATTAAAAGGAACAATCTCAAATAGACCAAGATCCAATTTCGGGTCATTTCTTGGTGAACATGATCTGCCATAATCTCTTCGACCCCTTCATTTATGTGCCAGAATAGAGAGAGATTTGGTAGGAAAGTGGAAGAGACCTTTTTGTATATGATAATCAAAGGGAGTGGGAAAGCTGCAGTAATTCTTTGGAAAAGCCCGGTTCTCTTTGTCTTCGAGCTTTCATTCCTCAATCCACTGATTCCTTCCTTCATATACCTCCCCACCAATAGATAGAGACAAATAGGAATAACCGAACCACGTCTACAAAATGCCAGTACCATGCAGCTGCTTCAAAGCCAACGTGATGCTCCTTGGTCAGATGACCAAGATATTGGCGAATACCACATATGATCGAGAAAATAGTACCTATAATCACATGAAAACCATGAAAGCCAGTTGCTAAGAAAAAGGTAGAACCATAAATACTATCCGAAATAGTGAAGGGTGCTTGATAATATTCCATTCCTTGAAAGCCTGTGAATACTAGAGCCAGTGAAACGGTAGCTACTAAAGCGTAAACTGCTCGTTTTTCCTTCCCCGCGAGTATAGCATGATGAGCCCAAGTTACGGCAGCTCATCCGGGTGACAACTAACTTATTTGATTGGCGGTGGTGATAGTTGTGACCGAAGATGGTGGTTATAGGTGGTAATTAATAATGGTGGACGACGATTAGTAGCAAAACTAGATGGAGTAGTAATGAATTGTATGTTATCTTTGTAGAAATCTTTAAACAGGCATCTTATTAATATTACAACTTAGTTATTATATATATAAAAAATAAATTGTTAATACATAGAAAGTTGGAATATTTTAGGTGTACCTACAATATGCTACCAATAAAGTAGCAAAATGACAAAAGTTCAAATTATAATCCATCCTTCTATTACTATATTTCTTCTTTATATAAAAAAAAAAATGTCCAAAACACAAGTTAATGTCTTTTTTTCTCTAACGTCTCATTGACTAATGACTCAAAACGTCAATAAAAGTAGTTAAAGCTCATCAAGAAACAGTATTTCTTTATTATGCAAGACAAGTGTAACGCCATACATTAAATTTTCTGTTCATCTCTTCTTGTTTTTATATACATAATCAAAGTGAGACTTTGGTTACTGGCAAAAGATTCTCCAAAGGTGACCAAACAAAAGAAGTCACAATCAAACAGCTCGTACTATTGAAGTACCAAACAAAAAGAATACAGGGAGATTTACAGGGCATTTTTGATGGATACTCCGAAATCGAATCATCAAAGAAGAAGGAGTTCTTCTCCTTTCTTGATGTCTCAAACACTATGGTCATCAACTGAAAAAACATGCAGATCAGGATTGACCAGATCAAATGATGAAAAAGGGGTAAATGTGAAAGTTGTTCTGCGTTGCAGGTATGAACCAGTTAAAATTTTCAATTGCTAATTCTACACATTCATACGATAACTATGCCTTAATTTCAAGCAAATTGGGAATCCTTACTGTCCATGCCGATCCATATAAGTGTATTGGCAATAAGGTCACATGTTTGGAGTTCTACATGTTCTTAATATTTGTTTTACTTTGAGTCAAGGTTCTATCAGAAACAGTCTTTGTACCTTCACAAGGTAGGGGTAAGGTTACGTATACACCACTCACCCTAGATCCCACTTGTGGGATTACACTAGGTTTATTGTTGTTGTTATGTTCTAATATTAAAGATAATGTAGTTTAGCTTAGGTCTGAGTAATCAAGAAACCTACCTCTTCTCTTTTTACCAAACTAATTTATGTCTCGCACGATCATTTGTAACTGAGAGGTTAGAAGTATAGAACACTAAAAGCAAGACGTGTAGGTGGATCCACTCATCAATTTACCATTGAGACTTACAAGCAAGTGACATACTTGTCTTTCAGGCCTCCAAATGAGGATGAAATGAAGATGAAAGGCCCTTTGGTGATCTCATGCGACGAGCTGAAACAAGAAGTCACTGCAACTTTGAACACAAGTAATAAGCAAATAAACAAAGCATTTCTTTTTGACAAGGTTATCTTCTTACAATGTCTCTAAGTTTAATCTATTCTATATCATTTTTCATTATTACGAAAATTTTGTGTAGTAACGTTGATTGAACCCTTTTGATGCCACAATATTTGTTAGGTTTGTGGTCCATCATCTCAGCAAAAGGACTTTTATGATCAGTCTGTGGCTCCTCTTGTTAATGAGGCTCTTGAAGGATATACTTGTACTATTTTTGCTTATGGACAAACTGGAACAGGAAAAACTTACACAATGGAAGGGGAAGCAATTAAAGAGAAGGTTCTCTCTGATTCTTTCTTCATTTCTCCCCCCCTCAAATGTAACCATCATTTTGACAGAGGCAGGGAAATCTTAGTAGCTCAGTTGGTTGGCTACCTAAACTTTCACCTTGTTGGCGAGAGTTCGATTCCCCACCTAGTAATCCCTCCCCATTTCCCCTTCCCCTCCCTACCCCCAATTGAAAGAAAAGATTGATAGAGGCGGATCTAGGATTTGAAGTTTATGGGTTTCGAACTTGTAGCTCATTTGAGTTACTAAGTTCGTTATTAAATATTTATACATATTTAATGAAGTTCCCTAATACAAAAGCTATTAGATTCTTCAAAACCCTTAACTTATATTGTAGCTCCTCCCCTGATTTTGTTGGCTTTTATCATTTTTTATATCCTATTCAATGTTGATGCTTGTAGAATGGGGAGTTTCACAAGAATGCTGGAGTAATACCTAGAGCAGTCCAAGAGATTTTTGACATTTTGGAGTCTCAAAAGGCTGAGTACACTATGAAAGTTGCATATATAGAGATTTATAATGAGGAGATAACAGATCTTCTTTCCCTGGACGAGGAATCAAAACCGATAGATGAGAAGCAGAGAAAGCCATTAGCTCTTATGGAGGATGGAAAAGGTGCAGTTTTCATTAGAGGTCTAGAAGAGGTGACAGTATCAACTGCAGATGAAATATACAAAATTTTGGAGAAAGGATCTGTGAATAAGCATACAGCTGAGACGCTTCTTAATAAACAAAGCAATAGGTCTCATTCGATATTTTCCATCACCTTACATGTTAAGGAATGTACTCATGAGGGACTAGAACTGATTAAGTGTGGAAAACTGAATCTTGTTGACCTAGCTGGATCCGAGAACATTTTACGTTCTGGTGCAAAAGAGGTATGGAACTTCTCAGAATAATCGAAACTAGTTATTATACCATTTCACAAACGAGTTTAACTTGCATAAAATGCACTATCACGTCACCTTAAAGATAATTGCAGGTAGCTCATAATAAGTGGAACTACTTACCTGGAAAATAATGCTGACTACCTGCTATAACACGTTAAATTACACTGACAGTATAAAGATTCTTTACATCGTCAATGTATATAAGTTAAATCGTTCAGTTTATTATAGTGAAATTTGAGGTTCGTAAGCACATTTACTTCCCTAAAATACAGGGAAGAGCAAGAGAGGCAGGGGAGATAAATAAGAGCTTGCTTACCTTGGGCAGGGTCATCAATGCTTTGGTTGATCACTCTGGACATGTTCCATACAGGTATAGAACTTATTCAGTCATTATATATACATTGCAACAGATGTTATAATACAGAAGCAACCATTGTAAAATAAGTCTCGGGATATCAGGGATAGCAAGTTGACAAGGTTTCTGAGGGATTCGTTAGGAGGAAAAACAAAGACATGCATAATTGCCACAGTTTCACCATCCATCCAGTGCTTGGAAGAGACTCTCAGTACTCTCGAATATGCTAATCGTGCCAAGCAAATTAAAAACAGGCCAGAGGTAGTCAATTTTATTCTTTGGAGACTTGTTATGATTTTAGATGACCATATATTTCATTCTCAAGTCTATTTCCAGGTTAACCAGAAGCTGACAAAATCTGCCCTAATCAAAGATTTGTATGTGGAGATGGACTGCCTAAAGCAAGGTTAAAATGAGATTTGTAGTTTGACAATTTATTAATTTATGTGGTATTATAACAGTAGGCATTGAAGGAATACGGTTTGTCTCCGTGTGGCCTATAGGTCAGGAGTTTGAGCCGTGGAAATCAACCACTGATGCTTGCATCAGGGTAGGATGCCTATATCACACCCCTAAGGGTGTTGCCCGTCCCCGAACCTTGTGTGCATGCAGGATGCTTCATGCACTTTATAACAGTAGGCATTCTTCTTTGCTCTGCAGAATTACATGCAACGAGGGAGAAGAATGGAATCTACATACCACAAGATCGTTTCCTGAGTGAAGAAGCAGCTCATAAGGTCCTATTACCATCAATATATCTGGAAAGCTACTCTTGATCTGTAAAATAGTAACAAACTTTATAACTCGAATGCTTCTTCTTTTTTCCCTTTTTTAGGCGATAGTTGGGAAACTGAAGTTCACAGAACTTGATTTAGAGTCCAAAAACAAGGTAAGTATCACCTGGTCTATCATGTAGGCAGCTTATGCAAGTCCTAATTTATTCCAAGATGATTGAGAAGTTACACATTCTGAGCAGAAACTGATAGAAGTTCAGGATCTTTACGATAATCAGCGACAACTGACAGCAGATTTAACCGAACAACTTGAGAGAACTCAGGTAGGATGTTACTTGAACAAGTTACTATCTGTGTCTCTTTTTTACCATGATAGCAAGAACCTACAAGATAACTAAACTTTCCAGCCTCTATTTTATGGCAGAGAGAACTAAAGAAAGCTGAACAAGCTTTCAATGATCTAGAAGCTCAAAACAGGCGAGTGAAAGAAATGATTCAAGAGAAGGATTCTCTAGTATCCGATGTCATTAAATCTGGTAAGAAGTGTGTCCCAAACATGTAATTGAAATACAAAGATGATCCAAACCTTTCCTGAATCCTACACCATGTAGGAATAAATATGTATCCATTAACGGGTCATTGGAAAGAAGTTTATTCTTGAAATTATTGAAATCTGCATAGTTTACCTTTGGTTATTCAGAAAAGGAAATGACTGATAAAGCACTTGAGCTTCGAGATGAAGTAGAGAATGCAGAATCAGAGATATCCAGCTTGTTCGCCAAAATTGGTCCGCAGTACTATCTCTTCTGGTCTTTAGTCTTTATCTGGTTAAGATCAGTTTCTTCTTCTAACATATGTTTATTATAAAACAGAAAAAGGCAATAGTAGAGAGGAAAGAAACAGAATCCTTGTGCAAAGCTTCCGCAGCAAATTATCTCAGCAGCTTGAAATTTTAAAGAGAAAAACAGCAATTTCTGTAACCAAACAAGAGCAGCAATTGAATGTAATACTAGAAGATACACAATCCTTCTTAGCTAATAAAAGAAGGGTACAGTGAAATTCTTTCGACATACGGTACTCTGATAATCTGTGACCTGAAAATGGAACTTATCTAATCTTGAATTTACGGACAGGCTACAGATGAATTGAAGGTTCAGCTCCAGAAGCTGAAAGACAAGTATAACTCCGATATCCAGAATTTAGCTGTTCCAGTCCAAGATCTTCATGAAAATTCTCAGTTAGCTTTTAGCAAAGTGAATTCAGAAATATCAAAGCATTCTTCTGCTTTTACGGATGTAAGTGTGGATACTTCTTTAAGTCAATGTTACTTTCTTTCCACCCTTTCATCACTCAATTTTGCCAGCATACTTGTACAGCTTGTTGGAAAGATTTCCGCAGATGTTAATGCTATACTCAACGGTCTGCAAGGTAATATTCGGGAACTTGAGGTGAAGATAAATGCATTTGTGCGACAAGAACAACAGGTACATAAGCATGCTATAAATTTTCTTTCAGATACTCTTAGTTTTGTGCATCTAACTTTGTTTATTTTTCTCCATCATCAGTATCAAACAAGAAGATATCATGAAATTCAAATTAGCTCTGAAGTTCTCCTCAACTTTTTCAAGACCTTGAATACATATATTTCAAAATTGAGACTAATGGATGAAAAATCACAAACAATTAATAATCAGCAACTCTTCACCCTTGAAGATAAGTTTGAGGTATTTATTTCTGGACTCTCCTTAGAAATGAAGATCTCGATCTTGATCTCTTTTCACCCTTTTGAGTTACTTCTATAGGAGCTGGCTGCAAGTGAAGAACGTCAACTTATAGAAAAAGTTGCAGAGCTTATATTAGCTTCCAGTACTAAGAAGAAAAGGCTGGTATGTGCTTCTTCATTGCAATTTGTACATACCTTTTATGGTATTAGAGGCAGCCTTACCCCGTATTTCTGCAAGAGGTTGTTTCCACAGCTCAAACTCGTGACCTCCAAATCACATGGCAGCAACTTTACCAGTTACGCCAAGGCTCGCCTTCAACTAAAGAATTAGAATTTACTCTAAAGAATCACAGCTGAGAATGCTTTTCCATGAAGGTTTATATTGTGAATGGAATTCATACCAATATCATAGCCTTTTCATGGATTTTCTTATTCTTAAAAGCATGGAATTACTGCAGGACTATCTCTTTCAGGGAGAAAATTATCAAATACTTTCATTTTTTTCGTTCTTTAGGTTCAAACAGCAGTCAATGACCTTAGAGAGTGCTCTACTATCAAAACCAGAAATCTAAATGCTGAGTTTTCAGACATACAAGGTTGTGCTAATTCTGCCTATGAAGAGTGGACAAACTACATTGAAAGCACAGAATCCCACCATATCGAGGATTCAACTAGATTGGAATTTTGGAAGAGTAGCCTAGCAGGAAACATCGATTGCTGGTTGAGTTGGTTTCCGATGATATAAAATCTATAATATTGCACTGTGTTTTGTATTGTATACCTTTAATCAAGCAATTATATTTTTCATCTTAAATTTCAGTTTGACAAAATCAGAGGGGATCGAAGATGGATGGAGAAATGCCCAAGAATCCCTTCATTCCCAAGAAACAAGAACCATCAACTCAATCGATTGCATTGTTAAGTGAGTTATCATTTCAGATGAATCAACTACCATCTGAGGACTTCTTTTACATTTTTACCTCGATATGTTCAGGAGTGCTATGGAATCAAATGGAAAGATCGGCACTCAGTTTTCCTCCACAGTGACTTCCATACTAGAAGAAACAGCTATTTCCAAGAGGAATCTTCTTTTTGTTATGGAAAGTATGTTGCCTGGATACATAGTGTTTCTTCCACTGATGTTACAAGTGAACAAACTCGGGATTTATTGCCACAGACTAATAGAGTTAAAGTTGCTGTAGGTTTGCTGAAACTTGATCATGATGAATGTGAGAAGATCTGTTCATCTATTCATCCTTGTGTTGAGGATATGAAACAGATGAAAGACAGACATTCATCCGAAGTATCAGAGATAGCGGAAAATGCAGGAGAAGTATTGACAGATGAGTATAAGGTAAAAGCTCATAAAACTATGCAACTATAAATAGGATCTTCGAATTAGAACTAAAAAGTATGATACTCAAATTTGCACAATACTATTACAATCTGCATTTTAGGATGGTTTAAATTTTCTCTCTTCATCATTCAGAAACAGACTTCCACTTAGAAAATCTAACACCAAATCTTTCTCCTGTATAGCAAGAATACCATGTCAACCGAAATTATCACTTATGAAATTTCCATGAGATAGCTGAATAGGACATTTCATTTCAAGTTCTTGACTCGATTATAGCAGGGTGATAAGTTTATTTTCTTTGACTTTTTTATTATAATTTAGAATTCTCCGCCAGAAGAAAAAGTGCCAATTACTTGTCATCTGTTAAGAACTATTGGTTTTCTTAATCTTATTCTTTTACCACTCTTCACAAGCTATCTTCAACTAAGACCTTTTTCAGCTTCCTATGGAATTTTACAGCCATTTGAATGGGATACTAAAATGCATTCTTCTTTTTCCTCAATAACTAGGTTGATGAACCGTCAAGCTCAACTCTGAGGAGGAAAAGAGTTAACGTGCCAAGTAAGGAATCTATTGAAAATCTCAGAACTCCTTTTCTCGAGGAGTCACTCAAATCATTTCAAGGCAATGGAATAGCAAACCGAGCTAGCAGAAATGTAAATGCAACCAAAAGTGGGTGAGGATATTCAGTTGGATTCCAGATGTTCATGTTTCGAAGTAGGATAACTGATTTAGAGACTGATCAATCGAGGTTTATATCTGTTACTGGTAACCGGATGTAGTGTTTTAGTAAAAGAACTAAGGCATGTCATCATGTGAATTGGAGCCTCAGAAAATAAAATCAATGTTTCTTTACATCTAAGTGTTCTAGTCATATTAAAATACGTATATTAGAAACAGCATACTAATATGTACAACAAAATACAATATGTTAGTATTCAGTGCGTTATTCCACTTTGATATAGGATAAACAAGGGTCTTGAAATCTAGAACTGATGTATTAATCTTTAATAGCATTCCTACATAGGTTGCTGAACAATTACACTACAAAACAAATAATATAATGGGCAAAAACTCACAAAAGCATAGTGATGACTGATGCAAAGGCGTAAACCCGTATAGCCACCTTAGATCGGTTCAGTCTAAGGCCTATGTTGCAATCTCCTCTCAGAACACTTTAAGCAACTCCTTCTAACATAGCTGGCTTCCATTTATGCCTTCTAGTTGCAATGCAGCGCTCAAATTTAAGTGTCATACTGGATATCTCTTTTCTTGTCGATGACCATTAAAATAGGCCCAAAGACCTATTTCTGAAATCCTATGCAGTAATCACCTTCTTAGAGCAAATGGTCCAAAGCTTCACTTACAGTTTAGTGAACTTCACTAGTAATGAGGCGGTCATTTGGGCTTGAGAATATGGTTACCACCTGGGGCTGCATACGAGAAAGCCCTATCAGGCATCAAGTACCACAGACCTGCTTTCTGAAAACACAAGCTTTACTTCCTCACTTCAAGGGAGCTAATGGTTCAGAGAGTTACAACTCGTGATTCTTTTAATCTGCCGCTTTAGTTGGTTACACTGCATCAATTCCTTAAGTGGTATAAGAAGCTACAAGTTTTATGGAAGCGTCTCGTGGCCTTTCATTAAGCCAGTAAAGCAAAGAATAAACAAATCACATGAGTTTTGCATGAAGGCTGCCTCAGGCAGTGCTTCTTCCTCCACAAGGTGACCATTTACTGAGGAAGAAGTTGCCTACCCATTACTAGATTTTGCTGTGCCTTTCACTCAGTGCAAGACCCTTCTCCGTGCTATTCTTGGTGAGAACACTCTCAGAACTCTACTTACCATATCCTGAAGTGGATCTTCTCAAGAATACTGAAGTCTCGAGGACTTGATCTCACACGCAGTGAACTTTCAGATGCTGTAATAATACTTCTCAATCACCAGACTATTATTCTTCAGGCGTACAATCAGTACAATTTGTACATAAAAAAGATGTATGACTGAAAAGTGATACTGGGAGTAACAAGAGTGGACTGCTGTTTCTTGTGTATCTACACATCAAAACAGTAAATAGCTTCCTCATTCACTCCTTAAAAGCAGTAGAGCCATCCTGAAATTTGAGTTCCAAAATTTGATTGCAATTCTAACTTTTTCCCTAATGCTATCTTCATATCTTTCTCTATTTGGCAGCAATCTTCAGTTAATCTGAAATATGAAATACATCTCTATATGAAACGACAACTTGTTCTTTGGAAAACAGCAAACTGCTTTGACCATTTGTACAAGAATATCTGCTGCTTCAGTGTCTCTCTAGTCAAGCATGTCTCTGGATAGCTATTTGGCAAATTTTTGTTTACACTTTCCAGACCTCGTAATTTCTAGAAAACCAACTCAAAGACCTGCATAAGTAAAATCTGATTTCGTAAAGGTGCAACTCCACAATGTGGACATTGCAAGAAGCGTATATCCAATAGTCATCCTGTCCAAATGTTTTACCCCTAAAACTTAAATCTGGAGGGGCAAATAATCATCATCCAGCATCTGCAGCCATAGTTCATCTAGCATGGAATATATTCTGTCTCTTTCTGCATGCATACAGTCCTCAGCCAAGAAGACATGGATCCGGTCCTTGATTTCGATCCAACTTTGACCTGGAACCTTTTTGACACCTTTTTGTCTCATCTGACCCCTCAGTGATGCAACATCCTTCCAACTGCCTGTAGAAGCAAAAATGTTACAGAGTAACACATGTGCAGCAGAATTCGAGGGATCAATCTCCAAAATTTTCTCTGCAGCTCGTTTGCCAACATCAAGATTGTTACGTGTCTTACAAGCAGCTAACAAAGTTTTCCACACCACAATATCAGGATCAAGTTCCATTTGATTGATAAAAGCTTCTGCTTCTTCTATGCAGCCAGCTCGGGCAAGCATGTCAACCACACAGCAACAATGCTCTCTAGTTGGTACAATACCAAACTCCGTTTCCATGGCTCTGAACAACTGCCACCCTTCTTTTACTCGTCCAACATGACTACAAGCAGTCAAAACCCCGACAAAGGTAACTTGGTTTGGCTTGACAGCTAAATATCTCATCTTTTGGAAGAGGTCTAGAGCCTCTTCTCCGTATCCAAACTGAGCATACCCCACTATTAAACTACTCCATGAAACCGCATCAGGGTTCTTCATACTATCAAAGAGCTTCTTAGCACTTGTCATATGTCCACATTTCACATACATGTCAATTAAAGCATTCATGACATAAATATCTTCACTTAGTCCATTTTTCATGGCATAGCAACAAACCTGGTCTCCAATTTCCAAAGAGGCTACTTTTCCAGAAGCCCCAAGCATATTAACTAATGTAATATGATCAGGCTTATTAGAAGAAAGAAGCATCATTTTAAATAATGAGAAGACCTCTCCAGAATCTCTCTGTTGTAGAAAAGCTGTAAGAATGGCATTCCATGAGACTAAATCTGCTTTATTTTTTATCTCATTGAAAATTTTATGTGCATCCGGGAGATCTGAACAGTTGGCATACATTGAAAGTAATGTATTAGAGATGGAAATCTCTAAATCAAAGCCACTCTTAATAACATAGCAGTGCACTTGCTTTCCTAGGAAGAGAGCACATGGACTTACAAAGGCACAAAGTAAAGAACGAACTGTGACATCATCTGGGGTCAACCTCAAAGTTCTCATCTGAGAAAAGAGAGATACAGATTCATCACGGTCACCTCCGTATGCAAACCCCGCAATCAGAGCATTCCAGGATGCAAGATCAGGATTTCCTATCTGGTAGAATGCAGTTCTTGCAGAATACAACCATCCACATCTGGCATACATGTCAGTAACAGCGCAACCAGCAAAAGCATCAAAACTAAGCCCAAATTTTATACTTAGACCATGTACTTGTCTTCCATATTCTGCTTGCGAAAGACTTCTACAGACATTAAAAATGCTTCCAAAAACGAATTCATTCAGTTTGTAATTCCCCTGACTAAGCATCTCCCTGAAGCAGGACAGAGCTTCTGATTCATAACCAAGCTGTGAAAATCCAGCAATCATTGAGCTCCACGAAATCAAATCCTTTGATTTAATACGGGAGAACACTGTCAATGCCTCATCAATTTGATTAAACTTCGTATACATCGGAATCAGTGCATTCTGAGCAATAAGGTGGGAACCATGTTCTGATTTAATGACATGTCCATGCAACTGCTTCCCTAACTCTACCTGTTTCATATTTGAGCATGTTTTGATTACGCTGCCATATGTGAACTGGTCAGGTATAAGACCAAACTGTCGCATTTGAAAGTAAAGATTTAATGCTTCATTCTCCTGACCATTTTGTGAGTACCCAGCAATTATCGAAGTCCAAGAAACCAAATTTCGTTCAACCATTTCATCAAACACCTTACGAGCCTCCTTCAGCGACCCACACTTCCCATACATATTCAACAAATGATTTTGAAAAATCATGTCTGGCTGATAATTTGATGCTAAAATATGACTATGAACTCTTCTTGCATACTGCAGGGATCTAAGAGATGAGCACGCAGATACTAGCTGAGCATACGTGCTTGGATACAAATTATAAGTCGTGTTCCTTTCTAACAACTCAAATGACTCTAAAGCTTGTTTAAATAACTTTTGCTTACACAACAAGATTATATGATCATTACTTGACTGTTCATTCCTGAAACAAGACTGTATCCTATGATTGACATAGCTCCGGAATGATCCTAACCTTTTTATCATTGTGAAAAAAATCCCACAAACAATCAATCAATCACTCAACTACGCATCAATCCCAAACTAGTCGGAATCCTCTATATCCATTCCTCTTTACTCGGATCTTCATCCCAAAATTTTCATTTCTGCAATAGCAAATACAATATGATATTTATGAACCACACAAGACAATTTGCATGTTTTAAAGTGAATAGCAATTCGAACAAATGTAAACAGAAATTCTGCTTAAAATTTGTAAATTTCACGCAATGTGTAACAATTTCTGAACTCATATGTGACTCTTGAGAATATACGAATTCAGCTCAATTCACAGTTCGTATTTTTACTAAAATGGCTGTGACCAGGAACTGATAGAAACTTTACGAGCATGGAATCTGGAGAGAGAAATGAAATAACTTACAATGAGATGTCGCCGGAAAAAGAGATCGACGGCGAACCAGATACGGCTACTCCGGTATCGTTTGAAATTGGCGGGCCAAAATGTCTCTAGGTCCCAATGGGTTATGAGGCATTTGGGCTGGTGATTTGACTTTAAATAACTGGCCCATTGTATATGAGCCCACTTCTTTGTCCTCTCTCAACGCAAAATTTATGACGATCCGATATGATTTGTGGCCAATTGGACATGATAATTATGTTGAATATAATTTACATAGCTTTATGAGTAAGGATAGAAACGAAGCAAAATTAAAAATAAGAAGGAATTTTGACACGAGATATCTTGTTTTGCATCAAGATGGAGGTTATGGGAATATGAAGTCTAACCAATCATTATTAGGACATATAAGGCGAAAATAATTATTTTAGTAGTCATGACTAGCTTTACAATTGAAAATATTATAAAAACAGATAGGCTACACATGTTATTATATGGTCAACATCCAGGACATGAGAAGTGTTATCAATTACTCTCTATAACAGCTTCCGCATTCTACTTTACAACTCTATATTTGTGATCCCCTTAACCTCGCCGTTATCAATTACTCTCGATGTCAGGAGTTTCAACACCATTGACAATGTTAAAACAAAGATCCAAGACAAAGAAGGAATTCCCCAAGATCAACAAATATTAGTATTTGTTGGAAAACAATTTAAAGATGATCGTACACTTGCTGATTACAATGTTTAAAAGCAGTCCACCCTTCATTTCGTCTTGAGTCTTTGTGGAGGTTATACATGAGATGAAATTTATCCTATCATTGTTTGGACATATAAGGGGGAGTGGTTTACCTTAGAAGTCGAGACTAGCTTTACAATTGAAAATGTGATAAAAAACGGTCCAAGAAAAAGGAGATTATAAAGTAGACTACATATGCTTATTAGATGGTCACTATCTAAAATATGAGAAGAGTCTTTTTTATTTTAATATTCGAAAGAATTGGACACTCCATCTTATACGATAATAAAAAGGTAAATTATAGATCCTTGTTAGGAAGCTGATCGGGATATCTATTTGTTTTAGAGAATTCTCAAACTATTTATTGATAATGTAACGCAAAGATTAAGAATAAATATATTTTTGTATATGCTCCTCTATCGCTTGGCCTTAGTCTCATTCATCAAAAAATAAATGTTCAAAAAACTTGAGTGTTTTAATGTTAATGTTTAATCTTGTCCAAAGCTTGCTTGAGCTAAAATAGATTGAATCAGAGCTAAATAATGAATGATAACTCAATTCGTTCAATTTAACTCAATTATTATATCCTTTCAGTGATATTAATATATTTCTTTATGAAATATACATAAGCAAAGTCTTCCTAAATATTTCATATCATAAAATTTTAAATTTTAATGTATTTAATAGCTTTATGAGATTAGCTTTGTGTTGCAGTGAATAGACGGACGGGTCAGAAATGTGTTTATGGGTAAATGAATAGATCTATTTTACTAGACTTGTCAATAAATCGGCCAAATCAGTAATTAAGTTCATGAAGCAGTACCGTATTCGAGATTTTAGGAACGAAAAAGCTTAAACAATATTTAATGAAATAGACATATTCCTCACTGCTCTGTTATTTATTATAGTCATACTTTATTTCGTATTTGGTAGTTAACCTTTCATTTTTAATCTTAACCGTAGTCATCGTAAGTGTTTTAAAGCATTAGAGAGATACTTTGTGTTTGTTTTGCTTTAATCATTTTTAAAATTTGGAGTTTTAATGTAGGGATAAGGGTTTGAAAAATATCCCAACTTTGATCGAATTTACTGTTGCGATACTAAACTTTCATGAGGACCTATTACCTTCTTAAATTATTTAATACCGTATTTTTTTACCCCATGAACTATTTAATAGTGTATTTTAAAGGTATATATGTGCCCATGTGGACACATTACTATTTATAATTTTGTATTATTTTTTATGTCTACGTGGGCAAATATATATGTTTAAAATACGATATTAAATAGTCTAGGGAGGTAATAGGTCCTCATGAAAGTTTAGTATCGCAACATCAAATCCGACCAAAATTGGGGTATTTTTCAGACCATTATCCCTAAAATTTAATAACATGTATAGCTACAAATTAAAAATAGTTAATTAAGTATATTGTCTATCTATGCATATCACATATTCACTGGAAATATTTCATCACATTCTTTTTAATCTTTCCAAAAGAACGTCACAATTTTATTTTTAAAAATAATTTAATTTTAAAATATTTATTTCACTTCAACGACATGATTTTATAATTATTTACTAATGTTATCATATATTTAAGACTAATTTTTATTTAAAAAATCTCAAATTTCATGTCTTGTTAAATATATTAACATAAAATGATATAGAAAAAAATAACATTTCAGATCGAAGAAGTAAAAAATAAATGAAACCTAAAAAAACACCACACAATACAAAAGGAAATTAAAAAGGATGTAGGAACTACATTGATTGAATTCAAACATCAGATTCATTAAAAAACACCTTAAAAATAACATCAAGTCACCCAAAAATTCAAATTTAGGATTCCCAGTATCTAACAAGTTTTTTTTGACATGAAATGGGTATATCCATATATCTCTGACTCATATTTCCAAGATGATAAAGTATGAGAAAAGCTATAACAATAATTAGTTCGCATCGGAATAGACGTATTGGTTCACGTAAGAGTGCACGTAGAATGCCAAAGAGAGTTATTCATGTTCAAGCAAATTTTAGTAATACCATTGTCACTTTTATAAATGTACGAGGTTGAACTTTCATTATAAAAGAATCAAATTATCAAAGATTAAAGGTTTGGAATAACTGTGGATTAGTTTTTTCTTGAGATGAGTTATGTCCAAAGTTAATTAATTTAATATACTTTCAATATATATTACTTATTTTTCTAATCATTTTTTGTAATATAAATATAAATATTAATTATTATGTATGAAGAAACGTGCAAAAACATAAAAAAAATGAAATAAAAGAATATAATTGAGCTAACGTGATTAGAGTTTCAAAGCTCCACTCTCCCTCTTCCCTACTTTACTCATTCCATTTAGGGGTTTGTTTTATACTAGTTACTATATTATTATATTATAGAAGAGTCTAGGAATGACTATCAATGTTCCAATAAGATCACTACTAATGTCCAATATATTTATAAAATATATAAGTGGGCCCCACCACCTTCCACTTCAATACTACATATTATATATTAATTACTATACTATAAATCACTACTAATATCCAATATATTTATAAAATATATAAGTGGGCCCCACCACCTAACACTTAAATACTACATATTATATATTAATTATACTATACTATAAATGACTTAAATACTCCATATTATCTATTACAATAATTAACAATTATTTGACACTTTAAATTCTATCAATGCCATATAAATTAGGATAAAAAACCTAACATATAATATTTAAATATATTTAAAAATAATATAAGTAATACTATACATTACAATAATTAACAGCTTAATTATTTAAAACTTATATAAAAAATTTAATTGACTCTCTAAATTCTATTGGTACCACATAAAATGGATTATATGATAAACATATATTGTTTGAAATTGACGAAAAAGAAACTATAAATTACAATAATTAACAAAATAAATCTCTCGACTCCAACAAATCTATCAATTAATGCCACATAAATTGGGACATGGCAAATAACATATATTATTAAAAAATTAGGTTCAAAATGTACTATAAAATACAATAATTAACAACTTAATATATTAAAGAGACATATAAAAAATGGTTAATATTTGAAATTCTGCGTGTGCCACATAAATTAGAACAAACAGAGTAATAAATATTTTTTTCAAAATTATGTTAAAAAAAAGTACTACAAATCACAATAGCTAACAATTTAAAATATTTTTAAAATCATATAAAAATTTCAATAACTTCTCAAATTCCATAATATAACACTTAAATACTACATATTATATATTAATTACTATACTATAAATGACTTAAATACTCCATATTATCTATTACAATAATTAACAATTATTTGACACTTTAAATTCTATCAATGCCATATAAATTAGGATAAAAAACCTAACATATAATATTTAAATATATTTAAAAATAATATAAGTAATACTATACATTACAATAATTAACAGCTTAATTATTTAAAACTTATATAAAAAATTTAATTGACTCTCTAAATTCTATTGGTACCACATAAAATGGATTATATGATAAACATATATTGTTTGAAATTGACGAAAAAGAAACTATAAATTACAATAATTAACAAAATAAATCTCTCGACTCCAACAAATCTATCAATTAATGCCACATAAATTGGGACATGGCAAATAACATATATTATTAAAAAATTAGGTTCAAAATGTACTATAAAATACAATAATTAACAACTTAATATATTAAAGAGACATATAAAAAATGGTTAATATTTGAAATTCTGCATGTGCCACATAAATTAGAACAAATAGAGTAATAAATATTACTTTCAAAATTATGTTAAAAAAAAGTACTACAAATCACAATAGCTAACAATTTAAAATATTTTTAAAATCATATAAAAATTTCAATAACTTCTCAAATTCCATAATATAACACTTAAATACTACATATTATATATTAATTATACTATACTATAAATGACTTAAATACTCCATATTATCTATTACAATAATTAACAATTATTTGACACTTTAAATTCTATCAATGCCATATAAATTAGGATAAAAAACCTAACATATAATATTTAAATATATTTAAAAATAATATAAGTAATACTATACATTACAATAATTAACAGCTTAATTATTTAAAACTTATATAAAAAATTTAATTGACTCTCTAAATTCTATTGGTACCACATAAAATGGATTATATGATAAACATATATTGTTTGAAATTGACGAAAAAGAAACAATAAATTACAATAATTAATAAAAAAAATTGTCGGCTCCAAAAAATCTATCAATTAACAACATATATTGTTTGAAATTGACGAAAAAGAAACTATAAATTACAATAATTAACAAAATAAATCTC